GGTGGTGGATGCCCCATCCCTGGAAACATTCCAGGTCAGGTTGGACGGGGCTCTGAGCAACCTGATCTAGTGGAAGATGTCCCTGCCCACGGCAGGGGGGTTGGACTAGATGACCTTTAGAGGTCCCTTCCAACCCAGACTATTCTATGATTCTATGAAATGCTGAATAAACTTCTAATTAAAACATAGTAATTTCTTAGTTAGAGCTGAATTTCTTTGGTGATGCTGCCAATCCATATATAGGGACTAAAGACAGTAATTTCAGGTCGTCTTCTGGACAGAATTGCATTTGTTATTTTACATATGCATGTGGTAGGTATATGGTCGTTGACATAGTGGAATTAAATTGTGCTGAGAGGTTCACAGGTTTTTTTAAGTCAGGCAGGCATTTAGTATTGCTTTGCCACCGAAATCTGAGGCCCTTATTGAGTAGAGATTTAGTGTGTCAGGAAGCACATGGAGCATTGCTTATAACAGCTTAGTAGGGGTATCTGAACAAAAGCAATTGTATTGATCAAGAAAAACAAACAGTAAAAGCAAAACACTGACCTTTAGCTGTTTTGTATAGAATTGCTTATTTTTTATTGTCTTCAAGTCTTGTGCTTTCAGCACCTTAGTTTTATGTTGATGGTGTGGATTGCTATTGTTGGTCTTTTGGCACGTAAGACATAGCTGTGGCTTTTGTTTATATGACAGGGGATATCTATTTCCTTTTCCTCTCATTCGTGGCCGAGACAGAGGTAGATCTTGATATGAGGGGAATGAGGAAGTATGAAGTCATCATTTATCCACCACAGAAAACCCTTGATAGCAACTAGGTATCTGCAATTTGCATTCAATGATGCCTGAAAGGGATGTTAAGTAGAATGTCTTTGCTAAACTTACAGCAGCAAAATAGTTAAACAAATTGTCCTCATTACACTCCAGCAAGAAGGAAATAGTTCGCCCCTCTCAGAGCCAATGTTGTAGGCTGTGCACTTCAGAAGAGAATAGCGCACTACATAAAGTGCTGTATTTCGGCCTCCTAGCTTACTGTATCACCCAAAGCAATGATGATAATTCATATTATTAATGGATAAAGTAAGAGCAACCCAAATACCGTCAGTGGCACATATGCAAACTTATTGCTGGCAGCAGGGTTCATCAATTGTCAAGGACATAATATGAAGACATAATTACAGATAGACTCCTTCACCTTCGTTGACATAACTTGCTTAAAAGAGAGTATTGTTGATGCATAAGAAAGTAAGTCCACTTTCCACATTCAACTTTCAGCCATCCAGGATAACCAAAATAGCCTTAAGTAATTAGTCAGCAGACATGACTCTCAATGAACGAGAGCTACAAAGCAGGAAGGTGTTCACTTTAAAGTTTTACTTTTTTTAGAGTGGAAATGCATTTCTACTCTTTTTTGGGTAGAAGTATAGTTTTAGGCAACACAATGCGAGTTCTTTTATAAAAAAGTCTATTAGTTTGTGCTAAGGCACTGGAGGTCTTCGCATTTTGAGTGAATTATGATTTTACTGTTTGGGGCGATTAAATAATATGTCATTTTAAAAAAAAAATGGTGGATATAAATATTTTCTACTGAAGTGCTTTCATAGCTCACTAAAAGAACTGAAGCTTTGATTTTTCTTTTCCAGATGACTGGTAGATACGAAATGTATGCAGACAAGCTCACTGAAGCAGTCCAGCCTTATTTTATACCCAATATAATCAAAGAGTAAGAGAGAGCATCTAGTTACAATCAAATGTTACTAACAAATTAAAAGGTACTGTTGGATGATAGCTTTACTGTGGATCACAAGTTGTTCTTTTAACGCTGTCACTTTAATTTCCTGTAACCAACTTTTAAATAATAGGATTCAAAACTGTGTTAAGTAAAATAATTGAAAAATGGCTTCTTGCTTTTTTTTGTCATTTACAGAGTCCAAACTTTTGTTCCTTACTAGAAATATATCCAGTAGAAATACATTGATATCAAATGATGATGAAATGTATTCAGTACTGTGATATAGTTTGATGGAGATGATGAGTTCAGAGGACATAAAATTTTTTACATAAGCTTTGCATTGTGTGTCTATAGCTTTTACCTTCTACCCAAATGCATAATTCAGGGAGAAAGGAGGCATAAATTATTTTCATCTGTTTTTTTTTTAAATTATGAACTATTTGATGCAGTTCTATGCTAAGTTTGATGCTAAGTAACGTCCCAGACATGACATAGTTGTTTGAAGATCTGTGGGTACTGTAAAGGAAGACCGCTTTGTTTTTTTCTATTTCCCTTTACACTACGTATTACAACCACAGTTGGACCAATGTCTTTGGGCTCCTTCAAGGTGCAAAAGTAGTGTTGCAGACAGATGCTTTTAATATCTTCAGAAGCTCAGTGCTGTGCTGTGAGGCAAAAATAGACACGGTAGCTAAAGCATAGGCAAGGCTGGTGCAGTTGCATACTTTTCATTGTGAATAGAAAGCCATGGAAATAGTATTAGGGATCAGGATGGGTAATGAAAATACTTCCCTGGAGCTGCACTCCAGTAGGATACTCAGTGGTTGCGGAGTACACAAAACAGCTGTTGAATATAGATAATAACAATACATTTGCTATTCTCAGCTACTAGTGTATATTGAAATTTAGTTTTGTATGATTCAGGTGATGCAGTAGGTGTTCAGGAAGTGCAGGATGAATACAATTTACAGCCTAGCAACTATGAATTTATAGCGGAAATAAGTATTTGAACTCTTAATTTTTTTTTCCAAATTACAATTTCAGGTGTACCATTTCCAGTTAAGTATATAACATGTCCTCTAAAGATTTTCCATAATAAGGTTATTAATAAATGCACTTGCTACATTATGTTACAGGGTTATCTGTGACTTTAAACCTTTATTGAGAATGGCTTAATTACAAATAAAAATATATTTATGTATAAAATCCCTGCATGTAAAATACCCCTTCCTTTGCTATTGACATCATGAAGGAAACGGTGACAAAACATTTTCAGAATGAGTATTTTGATAGACAATCTTGTAATGGGAAACAAAGTTTCAGAAAATGCAGATGTTCTGAATGCTTGCGCAATGAGCTGCTTTTTCATCTGAATTTGTGTCATAAATACTCAGTCTTTTCACTTGGCTTTTGCTTCTTCCTTCTGTTTTCATCTCTCATAGCCATCTTCCATTTGGCAGCTATTAAGAGATCCTCTTGCAATGGTTGAGCTCTCCTTTTGTCTGTATTAGCTTAAATAGCTTTGTTTCTCTATCTTTCAGGTTTTTTTGAAGTATTTAAACCCTGGGTACCAAACATTTAACAGTCAATATTGTTATACCTATCTGTGCACTTCAGAACACTTAGCATGCCCTTAAGTTTGTTTTATGTATAAGCTCAAGATTTGCATTTGGATAACTGAACCAGTAAGAGGCTAAGCGTCAATTACAATCCTTCTGTAAGAATTGTTTTTATTTAGCTAACCAAGCCTGCTCTAAAATAAATCCTCTGGCAGTTTAATGGTACTGAATGAACTACCTACCTGAAAATGCATGGGTTAAGGAAGTACTCTAGCAACCTGTAGTTTACATACCCTGTTAATTAGTAACATAGCTAATGCAATCTCTCTAAATCAAACATCATGAATTTGGACTTAAGACATAAAAATTCCCACATCAGTAGCCTTCTGGTGACTTACTTCAGAGGAGTCGGAAGGCATTATCTATAATAAGTTTTGTACCTTTTTTGGGGGATTCTGCTGGTGGCACTAATGTACTGGTTCTACTGCTCACAAATCACATCCTAATTTTTACTCATTTTGCAAGTATAAGTGCCAGAATGTATTCCAGCTTCACCAATGATTAGCAAAATCTGATACACTGAAAATTTCCTGTCACATACTTCTTGGTCAGAACTTTTTAAAGGCTACTGCATGTTAAATGTCTGTTACCATTTTTAGCTTTGTACAAAGGACCACTCTTGATTCTACTAAGCATACTTACTGAACGCTTTCCAGATACTCTTCAGTAAGTCAACAACTGATAAAAGAAAATGTTTTCTCTTAGAAAAATTTTTTATCATGCTGAAAGTAGATTCCTATTTATTATTTTCACCACTAAATAACAATGTCCTTTTACTGTTACTCCACGCAGTTCCAGAACTTGAACAGTTCTTTTCCTAAAACCATGCCAAAGGGGTGGGATCTCTGTCTTAAGTGCAAAATAAAATTTTGCTAGCTGTACATCAGTATTAACATTGATTTTTCTACCCACTTCAACATAGGCAGGACTGGAGATCAAAACTTGTAGGAAATTGTGGTGGATGAATCTGAAATAGGGTGCTATTTCTTACACCTTACAGTGCTCCTCAGCAAAGTAATTAAACCCAGGTAATATGTGAAAGGATTATGAATGGGCTGCTAACAATTTCACTTGATAATGTTTGAATACAGTAACTCCAACTTAATCCAAATACAGCTGCAGTATAAGAGCTAGAAAATCTGAGTTCCTGCCTTTTTACTTGTAGCAAAGAGATGTTTGTATCCTCTCTTTTCTTAATTGATTTCAGGTCTTCTAAGAAGGTTACTGAACGAATACCAATAGCAAAATTTGGCTCAAATTATCATTCAGCCTTTTAGTTACAATCCAGTATACGCTGTCAGATATTTACAATTTACACACAAAATGTATACCATTAGTGTGGATGGTCATTTTCTGTATTTGCTTAATAAGTTTAAAGTTTATATTTAGAACGGATTCTGCAGAAACTGGCATATGTGGGTGGCATCATGTTCAGAGGTTTTTGCAAAGAGCAGTAAAGACTTCCAGGTACAAATAAAATATCTTTGCTTAAACTTTTGGGGCAATACGGCGCTCTGAGCAGTCATCCTAGAGGATTTAGCCACAAGAGACTGAGTTTGTAGTACAAGGGAGCAACACCAATAACTACGATTCAAAATTTAATGCAGTAGCATAAATGCTAAATCTGTGTAAGGTGAATTTGGTACATGGGAACTTTTCCTTGAGTAAATGTGTTTCATTCCTATAATGCAGACAATACTGATAGGCCAGCAAGGCATTTTTTGTTATTTAAAAGTGGTTTAAGTTAATATTTTTTTCCTTCCATAATACCCTGCTGAACCTCAAATCCCTAGATTTAGGATGAAGATCAGCCCTTGATGCTTTGACAGAGAGAGAAACAGGTATTTTCTATTTTATTTTCCTGGGTTTGTTTACCTAAACCTATGCATGTATTACCAAGTTTTCAAGTTCATAAATTTGGTGCTTTTTTCTCATGTGTTTAATTTGAAAATAAGCTCAAAGTGAACAGGCTCTAGGCCTGTATTTTAAAACTGCTGTCAAATGTGCAATGTTGAAGATGAGGAAAAAAAAAACCAAAAAACTGAGACATACATTGCAAAATCAGATACATTATCAGGGGGAAAAAAAAAGGTAAAGACAGCATTGCAATATAGTCCTATCAATGTCTATAAAGCCTCCCTTGTTTAAGATCCCACTGCAGTTCAGGAGCAAGGTCGCTGCAGGGGGAGTCCTGAGACAAGCAGCCAGCTGCCATGCAGGCTGCACAGGAAATGACCAGAAGTATCAGGTGTGGATGTCAGCTGTCTGTGTAGATGAACAGAATATCTTCATCAGTGCCATAACTTGTCCTGGCTTCCTCAAAGTTACTGATGCTGGTGCAGCATGTTCCTGTTAAGGAGGAACAAAATGTTACTAAAAATTCAGAAGAATTTGCCTGTGAAAGGCTCTTATACTGGGTCTAGCAGCCTCTACAAAGAAAAGTAACTAGTATACAGACTAGACCTATCAGCTTAGGTTACAGCTTTACTCAGGTAGATCTTTTCATCTCAAAGTCAGTGCTCACTGAAGTAATGCTGTACTAAGTTGGCCATCCTGTTATATTCTGAACAATGGTTCAGCATCTCTCACTAACCCATCTGAAAGCCAAACAAGTTTGCTAGAATGTGTATCTCAGTGCCTCAAGTAAATCACAGCACAAAATGCAGCGCTGATTTAATTAATGTGGCAAAACCCCTTCTGACAAATTGGTTAGTGATGCTTGAAATATACGCACACTATTAGGGGAAGTCCAGCTGTGGCTCTGTATTACAGACGTGTTAGTAATGCGGTGGCTGAGAATCCACCCAAAAGGAACAGGCTACTCACGGTCAGCATAGGCAGGGTTGTTGTAGTAAATACTCCCTGAGGCTTTGTTGTAGCCACATAACACAATGAAATGGCCCTGGTAGTCAGGATTCCTGCAGAAGCACTTCTGTCCAATGGGGAGGAAGCAGCAGTATTTGACAGGACTTGAGCAAAGATCACACAATAGCAGGACTGCATTCACTAGGACGATGGCTACATGACCTTGGGACAGGTGGTTTTGGATGTCTTGAACAGTTACTGTGCTGCAGAAAAAAAATCAAGACATGCTTATTAACAAGTTTAGGAAAGAGACATATACAATGAAGTGTGTGATGAACTGTACTTACAACATGCAGCTGGCATGGTACAGCTTATCTCACAGGTACAGCTTTTTGCTGTTAAACCCTGCAAGCTTTGCTACAGACAAAGCCTGTGTCATTCAAGGCCTTTTGATCTCATTGCTGCTTCTGAAATGCAGAGCAACAGCTCTGGATTCTGCAGTAAATAGAAATGTAGTCTCAGAATGTATCAGATGCTCCCGAGAAGAGTATTAAAGGAGTTGGCAACTCATTCAGTAACTTTAGAGACTTCTGTTGTGGGAAAATTGTAAATGAAGTGTTCTTTCCTGCTCTTAGAAAAACTTCTCTCTGAAGCACCAAATCTTTTATCAACCGAGTGCTTAAAGATTGTATAATCACTATATTAAGTGATTATACACAATTAATCACACAAATTAAGACGTGCCCAAATTTGCCTCTGTCACACAGGAATATATGTTTCTCCCAGTTGCAATTTTGGACTACCTGATGCTCTTGAGGCTTTATTTCTATAGTACCTCTTACAGAGAATGAGCGCTAACCAAACATAACCTATAATCTCATCTGTTAAAAGCTGTCCTTGACTGAGGCAGATGGTGTATTCCATATGCATTAGAAACCCATCCCTTGGATACACTCCAGGTGTCCAGGCTGTGTGCCCTACCTAACTGAACTCATGTGCTTTTTAATCTTTTCCAGTGTCACTTCTCCTCTTTGATGCCCCAGCCTCAGCACTGCACATGTAGATATGCCCTCTGTCCCTGCCTTGACCAGAGCCACAATCTTAAGATTGCTAAAGCAAGGTGGACTGACTGTCCCTTCTGTCCTGTGGCAGCCCTAGTTAAACAGATGGTGCCATACAGACTCCGTGTATGTTAAAAAGGACACTTAATGATTCGGCTAAATGAAAGTTGCATTGCAGCATTCAAAATGCTGTTGTGGCTGCCCTGTACTCTCCCTTCTTTCTTACTCCTAATCATTTACCCCGCTTCAACAACAGAGATCCAAATCCAGCTTCACTACAAAAAGGGATGCAGCTCAAGTTGAACATGGACGCTTAGTTATTTCCCATGTAGAATATCACTGTCGGTTGTGAAACAATTAGGCAGTCTTTCCCCTTCTCCTGGGTTTGCAGTTCTTTCATAGAAGTTCCTTATTTCATCTTCCTCTTGGCAAAAGCTCATATGCTAGCTTTTTCTTTGCGCGTCTGTCTAGGAACAGAGAGCTACGTTTGTGTAGTTCTGGGAACAATGGGTTGTGTGCCCACATAGCACTCCTTAATTCCAACAGTGGCAAATTAGAGTGCTGTAGACACTCCCTACTGGATAATCTTAATCAAATTCAAAATGTAAACAATAATCAACTCCTGTCAGCATTTTCAAATCACTTACTCTCTGTTGTGACTATTTTACCTCAAACTTCATTATTAACTCTTGATGTCCACTTTCTGGTTTTTTTGAGACAGATATAGTAGAAAGACACATTCACAAAAAAGGCTTGGGGCCTGATTTCAGTCTCTTTCTCCAAGAAAAGCGTGAGGCCCACAGAATCTCCAAAGAGAAAGGAAAGAAAACAATAAACTTACCACTTCTCCACCAGCACCTTGCAGGCTTTGGCTTGTGCAAAGAGCTGATTCACTCGATTCTCTTCTGTGTCAAAGTGCTTCCTGTAAAATGACTGTGGAGATAACAGAAGTTATGAACTGGAATGATGTTTACCTTAGGTAATCCACCACTTACAATCCTTGCTAGCAAGGGCCTGCGTAAGTTGGAGATCTGGCTATGGGATAAGAGATCTCTCCCTTAGTTCACTGGTAACAGGGTAAGGATTCCTGCTCTAAATTATAAGTTTAAATTCACTCCTGGTCAATTATTGTTGTAATCTCCATCCAGTGGCTCTTCAGCTGCTTACAGGAAAGAAGCCCATCTGGTTCGTACTGGGCAGGAGCTTGCATTAGAAAAGCCATCGCCACTATAGGCCCTCATTGGCCCCCTTGTTGGCAATCTTGAAGAGGCCAAGCTCTCAATAGATATGGAGGCCAAATTCCCCTCTGACCTCTAGAGGTGGTTCTTCCAGGTCAGGGCTGAGGCACGGTGGTGGGGAAAGTGTGGAAGCTAGCACTGCTGCTGCCCAGGCTGTACTTGTTCTGTAGATAAATAGAGAGCTTCAGTCTCCAAGGCTGTCAAATAGGCTGGGACCTTTCATGAGTACTACATGAAAAGTTCTTAAAAATTCATATTATGGAATCAAAGATGTAAAATATGTGTGATCGTATCTAGCCTCGCCTTTGGAGCTGATTTGTGCCAGTTTTGGCAATAGGCAAACCTTGTTTACAGGAACTGTGGTTAATTGTCAGTAAGACGGCAGAGCTTTTACAGCATGACACGTGGGGCTTTTAAAACTACCTGCTGTCTCCCAGTAGATAAGAATACTAACCTGATTTTTGTAGCCCTTGTCCACTCCAAGCGTCTGGGTGCAAAATTTATGCTTAACACCGAAGTGCCGCATTAGGTAGGCCAGGTCAATAGTCCAGATACTCTTTGTTAACTGGAGTTCCTGGATGGCTTTCTGAAATTCATCATTGTCCAAATGATTCAGGTACCTATGGTATTAGGAAAGGCAGGGAAAGGGAAGCAAGCTCTGAGGAGAAGCAAAATATGTGCTGCAGCCCAAGCCTCCACATCACAGGATATAAAAACTGAAACAATGGGCTTGGCTAAGAAATAACCAAAAAAACCCAACCCACAAAGGAGCCACAAATTTAAGGGGAGGGAAGGGAGTAGGGAATATTTAACTGGATTTATTGCTGACTTTTTTAAACTGGAAGTGTATGGGTATCTTGACTGTTTTATAGTGTTAGAACTGTACAGATGCTGTACAATAGGCAAGCTATACTGAGCAAGTATAGAACTCTGTCCTGAAGACAATACAGTCTAAATGTACAATACAGTCTAAATGTACAAGCATATTAAAGCAAACACAGAAAGAAGTGCTAAAGACTAAAACTTGCTTCACGCAATAGATGGATTTCAAAAGGAGGAACTGTAAAGGAAGCCGGTAAATATTCAAAGGAAGCTTGTCTTAGGCACTGATGGCACAAAAGCCAATGAAGGGGAGATGAAGTCAGGAGGAAGCTTGGGACAGGTTGCAGAGGGGTGGGGAGAGGCAGCTACAGAGAGTTTTTGAAGTCAGAAAACAAATGGAAGTAATGGAGAGAGAGAAAAAAAAAAAAGGGACTGAAATTGAGGATGCAGGGCAAACAAGGTCAGATCAGCAGGGTGAGAAGATTAATCTTGGAAGCTGAGTTTTGGGCAGACTGGAGTGGCAAAGAGGTAAAGGGAATAAAGAGGCAGAGGTTACAGTAGTCAAGGTGGGAAATTACCAGCACACGGACTAACGTCTTGGCAGAAGGGATGGAGAGAAATGAAAATCTTCTGCTTCATATCTACTAAGTGGACATCTAAATAGGTATTTCTCCTGCACCTAAGCTCATGTTCCTCTGTGGAAGGAAAGAGGAGTTCAGCAGGACAGCTACTAGTTCAAAAAAAGAAAAACCAAAACAAAACCAAAAAAAACCCCAAAGGGCAATACAGTGCATTGTTTGAAGTTGAAACTACTCCTGGAACAAAAACACTCATCCCACAGACTGGGGGCTCAGCGGGACAGAGGTAGTATGTGCTCATAAACTGGGTTACACCTACCCATCACTTGAAAACACAGAAAGGAATTAGGTGAATTGCTGCGCTAAGTATCAGTTCTGAATTACAACAACAGGAAAGAGGGATAACTTTTTATTAGGTTATGCATGCTAACCTGCAAAGTTCTTAGAGCTGATCAGATATTTTGCATCTGTCAAAACAGTCAATTATTCAAAAGGGTCTTAAGTTCATCTTAGTTTATATTTTCCCTTGCTCCTGCTGGAGAGCTGTGCCAGGCCCAAGCAGCAGTAATTCTCTGGGGGTACCTGAGAATATGCGATCTCATAAGACTAAGTTAAATTCACAGCTGCTTACCTCTTCTCCCTGGGTGTTGCTTCCTGCTACCCCTCTCCCATGGGATGGGATTTCCCACCCGTTCAAACCAAAACAGTCACTTACTGAAGCACCATCCTGGAGCAGGCTAGCCCACAGTCCCAGTGGTACAGCTGCTGAATGACTGGCACTTTCAGCTGGATGCAGTCAACTGTAGTGAAAACACCCCATTGTGAGTAAAACACGAAAGATGTCAGTCCATACAGGAATGTTTTTTCCACACCTCAGCATTAAAAGTCAGTTTGTCCTCAGCACTATAGTGGCGGAAACATAAACATTTTTTTACTTTATCTGATCGGCAGGTATTTTTTCTTTCTTAGGGGAATGCAGGTTTGGTATTTCTGTAGAGTTAAGCATTTGGTTTAATCTCGTACTCCTTTATTGTTCCATACATGGATCAGTCTGCCATATGGTCCAGCCCCTTTTCCCTGGAAGTTTTATTTTATTCTTTTTGATGGGGTGACATACCCGCTAGCCCCTAACTATGAAGCTGTATCGCCTCCTAAATAATAGCAGGTAAGGCACAGGTATTCATCCTTTCTCTTGTGCCCGAATGTGTTTCTGTGCCATAAAAGGAGTTAAAGCAAACTGTGAGAAAACAGACACAACCAAGATCTCTAGGCGTTGATCTCTTACAAGCCCCACAGATTTGAGCCTTTTCTACAGATGTCTTTTTCTTCAGGGACTGTAATTTATGTGAGTAATTTTAGGTTAACAAAGCTCACAAATGGCACCAGTTGGCCTTCTGTATTAACTCCCTCAATAACTCAACAAGGGGAGAGGGAAGAAGAACAATCTCTACCAAAAAGTCCCAGAATACAAGTAACTCCATCCCTCTGCCTCAGTTTTTATTTTTATAGGGTTGGCAATGTGGTGGTTTCAGTTTCAGAAACACCCTTACCACTCGAAGGACTTGACGAGTTGTGCCTGTTACTGCTACTTCAACGTCAATCAAAGTGAGTTAATCATAAAGGGCTTTTCTTAATAACCTTACCTTTGATCTAGAAAAGACCTCTGAAAAGTTTTGTTAACACAAGGTCAACTACATTTTAAGATGGGAATAAAAATGCATTTGACATCACGTGGACTGGTCTAGATTTGATGCAGTTTTACTTTTTAGATAACATTTGTCATCTTATATTATTTTTAACAAAACTATAGCCTACTGTAGGGGCAAGCCACGACAGATACTCTGGGCTCCTTCCAAGTACAGTTGTGCCACTGTTTAATCGTGACTTTGAAGACTGGCATACCCATTGGTATATTCAATCTTTTTAATTAATCTAGATTAAGGTGCTCTTGAGTATCCTAAAGAAAAAATGAAAAGCCAAAAACTCCTCAAACCAGGATCTGTAAGTATTCTGTCATCATTTTTTCTTGGCATGTTACGATTCTGTCGCCTTTTTGTTAATACCCAGGGCCTCTGTCAAGTCCCAAGATTAACTGAAGAGGTAACATTTTCTACGTGAAGACTTCAAAGGGTAATGACTTTAATTTTCTTGGATGTTCAGCTTCCCGTCATCCTCTTTCCCAACACACCCAGACCCCTTGGGGGATGACTGTCAGCAGTCCCGAGAGAAGATACAAGCCAGTATACGCCGTGGCCGTAAGTAACACTGGAAACACCTCTCCGGTTTCCCAGCTCCTCAGCGCAACGAACTTACAGACGAAGCCAGTAATTCCACATTGCTGCTGCTGGCGCAACCCGCAGCTTCGCGCCTCGGGGAAGGCGGAGGAGGCGGCCAGGGCCTCCGAAGGGGAGGGCAAGAGCCG